ATATATATATATATATACGTATATATATAAATATGCATAGTCTAATTTGCATATATTTCCAGAACAGAAGGTTCAAAATACTTGTTTCATTTTGTTGATATATTAGAGTCAAGGGTTTTTAAATGGGGGATGTTGGATATCTGTTCTTAAATCAGAAAAATGCTGTCAACAACCAGCATCTGAAGTGACTCATGTTGAGAAAATGGCCTTTAAAGATGCATTGTAATTGAAATCTGCTGACGCAAATAGTCTATTTTGGATGTTTTCTTTCCACTTAGTCTGAAAGAAGACACGTTATGAGAGCAAAATAGCCCAAAATCCTCAAATTTACCAGTGCATGAAACAACAATGGTTTTACCTGTAGTATCATGCCTTAAGACCTGAAACAGTCCTGCATATGACAAGCAATCTTTCCGACTTACCCTTCTCTGGTGGGCGGCTGGATAGAGCAGAGAAGGTCAGGTACATGACATAGCAGCAAATGATGGAAGCCTGCAGGAGTCCTGAGCGGGGCTGCTCTGAGAGGGACAGCAAAACAAACTGTCACCTTAAATGACTAGTCATATTTGACTTAGATAAACCTTATATTATAATAAACAAAACCTTTATCTTTTCTTGATTTGTTTATATCTAAACTGCTGATATTAACTACTAAACTATTGTTTTGGTGAGAGAACAGAAACAGATGAAAAATGTAGCACTAACTTTGCTGCACACAGGGAGTGACCGCAATAAAAGACATGATGGTGCAGAGGGCCAGGTTAGTCCATAGCAGGGCTTTGTTCAGGTGGCATCCAGCTGGGTGAGTGTAGTATTTGTACATGAATGTGAAGGCCATGGTGGCGATGGTGTAGAAAAAGAGAGTAGCACACATGACTGCCACGTACCACCTCTTATTCTCAGCTGCACCGGTTAACCTGGGAATGAGAGGCAGGGCAGAGACGGTGTGTGATCAATGACGCCTCATGTCTAAATCGAAAAGGAGAATTCACAATTCCATTGTGTTAAGA